TCTGCGTCGTCGTGGACAAGAGATAATAAGCAATACTCACTATCATCAATCTTGGTTTGAACGGCTGTGGGATACAAGACTTGTCCAAAAAGTACAAGAAGAGGCTTCGACATAGGTTTTGGAGGGGGGGTTGCATATATATACACACACGTTTATTTATGGGTTCATTCATGCATTGATTCACGGCTTTTTTGTTTGCTTGGTTATTTCTGTGTCGATTTGTTCGTGTCTCTCCATTTATCGTTTTGCTGCTGCTTTAATATCTGGCCATCTTCCTACTACTACAGGCTGACCTAACCCCAAAACCCACGATTACTTGTCTTGCAGATTGATACGGCCATAGCTCGGACCGCATCTCGAAGCCCAGTTGCAACTTCTCTTCGCTCACAGGCTGCTTAAGGCCCTGGAGTTCACCCACCTGATGCGACCAGGGGCTACGGTCAGGGTTTAGGCTTGGGTAGACTAACACTACACTGGGAGCGCCCTGCAGAAGTAGAGAACACCTGCGCATGTGAAAAGAGTGATGATGCTAATAACAACAAGTTCAAGGCGAGTACGATTAATGCTGAGCCAGCACATCAGTAATCGTAGTCATGGCCTGAACATTAGATACCGACAAGAATACCTTGATCAGTAGTCATGGAAATTGGCTCTGGTGGCGTTCAAAACAACCAGAACTACAACAACCTCCAGAACAGGAACAATGATGATGGTCATGAAAATGACCATGCATGCTTGCACCAAGAACTGGAGCTTTCGTGAAGAGCTTGCGTCCCATCATTTGGGAATTGGAAGCTTCAAGCAATTGAGGAGCCCCCCCCCCCCGCCCCAATAAACCCACACGGTGAGATCGTTCAAGCGCAAAGAGCAACCCTTGACGAGCCCTAAACCTCCAAACCTCTAAACCCTAATAAAACCCTTTCTAAACCCTATAAACCCTAAAGCTCAAACCTCCTAAACCTCTAAGTCCCTGTCGTGTCTCTGCTCCAAAAGCCCCACAGCCCTGGCTCCGCTTGCCTCCAGCGCCAGGGCCTGAAACTCCTGCCAGGAGAGGTCGCCATTGCCGTCCTCAAGCCGGAGGTTTCGATACTTCAGATGATTATGATTGGTGCTAGTAACTCATATTCGTGGTGGTGGTGGTGGTGGTGGTGGTAACGGAACACTAGGATTCCCTAGTTTCTACCATCAGATGCCCGCGCCTTGTCATACTTGCTTCGCAACTCCTGGCGAAGGCACAGGCAGGCCGGCACGGCTTTCTCTCCAAGCACGGCTCAACAGTTTAGGTAGGTATCAGGGCATGCCTTCAGCTTCTCCGGCGAAATCGGCGGCGCATTGCCCATGTGGGGGAGGAGGAGGGAAGATGTAAATCCCGAGCCAGTAAATCGATAGTAATCCCTCAGGACCGCCCTTCTGTGCAAACACCCCGGAATGTTACAGGTTGAGTCTGTCAAAGCATGTCAACGCCCAACTTGATCCATATGACTGCCAGAGCACGCAACCGGACCATTCCCCGCACTGTTGCACAAGTTGCATGCACTCACAATCGCAATGCGCATGTGGAGCAGCTCTTATCATCTGAAGCCTTGCTCCTTCTAACCTCATTCTTCTTGATCCGCATCGGATTAACGGTTTGAAAACTTAGCCTTCTGAGTTCGTCCGAGCCTTGCGGTATTCTTCGGCGAGGCGGTTTGGCCCCTGCAGCACCTGTGAATGATGTCAGGGATTCTGGGATTCCTGGGCTCCACCCACTCTGGGGGCGCCACCAGTGGCAGGTTCGGCCGGTACCCAAGTCGCGATTTCTGTAGCGGAGACAACATGATCATTTGCCTCCATCCGTCGTCAGGGTCAGTAAGGTGCACTACTCCAAAGGGGAGTCACGGCATCCCACAGCCTCCTCACCAATCGCATTGTTCCACTCTCAATCGCGTACTGCGGCTCCTGTGGCCCAGGCACGGGATCATGAAAGCCGATGGCTGTGGAGCCAAGCCTCCGAACCAACGTGCCGAAGGCCCAAAGCTGAAACCCTGAACCCTGGCCCCCCCAAAGCCGTACAGCAGATCGCCAAAATTCCCCCAAAACTCCCAAAAGCCCATAGCTTGAAACCTCTGAAACTCCCATGCTCGCAGCACTCAAGCCCAGTCTGGCTGGCCGCGTAGAACCTGTGTCAATCCCACTCTGGTGCTCTTCTGTGCCTAAATGACCTCTACCCCGCAAAACATCAATGCTCGGACCAGGAGCTGCGAATTAAACCCACTGAGACATGATAACAGCAATGCTCATACATGTGTAAATTTTAAAGACAAATAACAACCATCATCAACATAATAATGCCAAAACCGATGCACAAGAAGAAGAGGGTGCCTTGGACGGGTCCGGGAGATCGGCGCAACCTGACTCGTCGCTTTCCTTGATCAACTCATGCTCGAGGTCCTTCGGGATCTTAGGGTCAGGGTTTAGGGTGCAGGGTTGTAGTGGTAGCGGTAGTGGTAGCGGTAAGGTAGTGGTATGCGGAAGCAGTAGCAGCGGCAGCAGGAGTAGTAGTAGTCGTCGTCGTCGTCAGTGGTGGTGGTACTGCTCGTAGCAGCAGCAGTCAGTAAAGGTAGCACTTTCGCAATACCTGCGCGAATCTTGTGCTTCTAATTACAGTGGTGGCTTCTGTTGTCTGCTACTAGTAGCGCATGAACTATGACTAGGTTGCGACTGTCTTTTCCATGACTTCAATCATTGCTATCGCCGTCGATAATCACTGTCCAGCTACCTTACCACTCTTTCCTATGCTAATGAAAAGTCTCGATGCTTGAGGCAGCAGCAACAGCAAATCAGAAGCCTCTGGTTTCGCTCGAGCTTCGAAGCAGGACGCACAAGGCTTGACATAACTAGGGCTTATTTCAACTAGAGTTCTCTGTGAGATATCGATTCTATGCTGCGGTGTGCGATACTAGGACAGCAGCTCACATGGCGATGTGGCAGAAAACTCACCCAATGACAAGACAAGTTCAGCCTTCGTGCCAAAGAGCTCGGCGCGAAGTGTGTAAGTCCACCATGAACTTAGTCGAGCAGAAATTCTCATGTCCGCACTGTTAGGACACTGTCCAGCCGCCATTTGCGAACGTCCCGATGCACTTCACTAAGTCCAATAAGTGGGCCACTAGCCATAGGCACCACTCGGGCTCCAATACCTCGTCATGGTTGGGATAGACGACATATGCCAATACAAGTGGGGCTAGGCCGGTTGAGGCAGCAACTGCAACGGTCCAGGCTGCCTGTAGCTGTGGGCATATCGCCACTTCTCGCGCACCTGGCAAGAACTCTCCGGCGCGGCATGCCCCCTGCATAACACAGAGCTGCATGATACAGCATCACGCAGAGTCGGTGCTTATGGTCAAAATGGTCAATGATTGATCTGATCTGCTATGACATTCTGCATCTAGCCTGTGATGTATGCCTTGCCATCTACTACATAGTGTGTCTTGACAGCTGTTGAAATCATCGAAAGATCCGGCCGAAGCAGCAGCCCGGTGTCGGTCAATTCTTCTTCGCTCGTGTGACGGGGCTTCACTGCGTCGTTGTTGCACATACGGAACCATGTGTCTATGAGAACAAGCCAGCTACACCAGCGCGAAGAGCTTGAAAGCATTATCTTCCTGCATGGAAGGTACAGCTACAACTTTGCTCCCATGCTCCTAGGCGCCTCCCTCTGCCTGCTTGTTCAACTGCCGCCGCTTGGCAATAGGCTCCAGCTGCGGACCATCCGGAGAAGGCCTGACGCTGCTCGATATTGAGGGTTAAAGGATTATAATCGGTTTTAGGGTTTAGGGTTTCGGGTTTCAGGATTATAGGATTTAGGGTTTCGGGTTTAAGGATTATAGGATTTAGGGTTTAGGGTTTAAGGATTATAGGATTTAGGGTTTAAGGATTCTAGGATTTAGGGTTTAGGGTTTAGGGTTTGGGATTTAGGGTTCGGGGCTTCCGCGCATGCCCTTCATCCGGGTTTCCGGCTTTAGCAGCCGTGCCAGCGGGATCGCACACGGCTGCCAACTGAGGTCAGACACAGTGCATGCCAGAGCACCCCAACCCTAAATCCTAAACTACCATTCAAAGGAAGTTGCGAGAGCAGGGCATGGTAAGATATGGTAAGGTCGGCACTCTATGGTGTCCTTCTGGATGTTTCGAACCTGTGTGTGCGGTACGCAAAAGGTGAACGCCACCGACGCAAACGGAAGCATTTCCGGGCTACGCTGAGAACGTGGCATTCGCCATGTAGCCTGTCTGCTGCTGTTCGATAAGAGCCCCTGCCTCTGGCTTCAGATGACGAGATACTTTTGCATACATGGCACCACATCTGATAGTGCTGGAGCTTCTGGGTGCTCTGCAACATGACCCAATGAGTAGCCCAGCTTGCAGTCCAGCACCGTCGGCATCGGACTCAAAGCAATGTGCCTGCTCCACTACAACCACTCTCCGACTCTTTATCAAGGGACGAAGAATGACAGTAAATACGCGGCAGAAGGCTTCCAACACGGCCTCAAGCTATGTGGATGCTGCTCGAAGCAGGTGACGGTTCGCTTGCCCTCTTTCCCTCTCCTGCAGAAGGATCTTTCAAGCACACGGCAACTCGCCTCCGGCCCGTTGTCCGCACTGGGAGAGCTCCCTCGCAAATGGGCGCCGGGCAACGCGAGGCGTCGCGCAACAAGAGCAGCGACAACCCGCTCTGCTTCCATGAACGGAAACCTCGGCAAAGAGTGTCTACATGCAAGGCGTGAAACCAGATGTAGCAATTACAATTTGCCGGGGTCTTCGCGTCGGCAGGCCATCAATCCCATCGGTCCTGCAGCTTCCACGACAAACAACTGCTCCGACCATCAAACAACTAAGCGCCTGACCCCTGGACCGCACAGTCCACACGCCTTAACCTCTGAATACACCGTGCCAGCAACAACTATGCTCCTGAAGACCAAGGCGTTCTGCGCATCAGAAGGCAGCCTGACTTGCAATGCCGCGTGCCGCCCAGCTCAGACCCACATGATCGGACTAGGTCTTTTTTGAAGGCTCTTCTTTTCCGCCATCCTGCTCTTTGTCATCGGGCCTAGTATGCCTAGTATTACGTTCAGGCTTGGGACTTTATCAAGGCGCGGGGTTTGGGGCGAAGAAAGTCAGGGACGTTTAGGGCTGCAGGTTCGGGGTTCAAGCCGAAACAGGCACCACAGGCTGTCTGCAAGTCGGATTTCACCACCAGGGCATGTACACTGCAGGCCCCGGCTCAAATAAGGAACAAGGGGTCCTGGAGATGCCCTGGCCATTGCGGAAGTGCAGCCAAGTCGCAGAGCGTAGTACTTAGCCAACGCTTCAGGCAGCATCCTCAAGGCAACTTCCTGGACAAGAAAGTGCTGGGTGGCAAGTGACCAAGTATAGCCAGTAGGTCATGTGTGCATGCATGTTTGTCTGTCAGTATGTGTCTGCCTGCCTGCCTGGCTTGCTGTAGGCAGGCCGGCCGGCCGGCAGGAAGGCAGGGAGAGAGGTAGGTAGGAATGTATAGGGTGATGGTTTTTTCAGGCGCCATGGTTCAGCACATGGAACGGCGTTATCAAGCACTTGCGCCGGATTTATCGAGAACAGGTTCTCAGGCGCAAGGCGGGGGCCTTTTCAGGCACATGGAAAAGATTTTTCAGACACGCGCAACGGACTCCCAAAACCCTATGCACTTCACCCTAGACAAGACCGTTCTTGATAATTCACGCGCATCTTTTTGATAAATCGCATGCTTGTCTCTGATAAACCTGCAATGAAAACTCAAAAGACAGCCCCCGGTATGTATGCACGTCTGCAGTCTATCTATCCATCCTCCTATCTCTCCACCTATCTACCCCCATCCATCCATATTATGTGGATCGATCTGTGTGTCGCTCCATCGATCTATCGATCTATCTAGCAATCTATCGTTCTGTCAGTTCTACCTATCAATCTCTGCATCTTATTGTCCATCCGTCTATTTGTCGGCCTATCCACCTATCTGCCTATCTGTCGCTTGTCGATCTGTCTATCTATACAGCCGTTACCATCCATCCATCCATCCATCCATCCTTGATGGATGGATAGACCGATTGTAGAAAGTCGTGCAACCCCAATCCCATCCCGAGCAAAAAACATAAGCCCTCAACGCACATGTTGTTCGTGAACCCTTTTGGCTGACGCCTGCCTCCGAACACAGCTCGGCAGGCTTCTCGCAGCGTAGCCTGGCACGGCTTCGTCTCGGTCGGTTTTGCATGCTGGGCTCAGGGCAAGGAGTGAAACATCCCTGGGCTTTTTGGGAAGCCATCCTGTTTCTGAGAGGCTATTCTGTCTGCAGGACAGTGGGCCTTTCATAAGCTTTCTGGGAGGGGCAGCAGTGTATGTAAGCGTTCTGTGAGTATGTCCTGTCGGACGGGCGAAAGCTTATAGCAACCTCATAAGAGCCCTTGCAAGAACCAGCTGCTGTTGACGCATGGTGCATAGGCGAGGCATGGTGCGAGCCGCGTGCTACTAAAGCCTTAACCATCCTAAACCCTAAACCTTCAGGGTTTGGGGTTGAGGGTTCCGGGTTCCTGCTCTCGCAGGGCTTTGTGCCTCCTGCATTGCTACAGGGTTTTGAGTTTGGGGTTTTGGATGTGCGTTTTGGAGCTGAGAGCTTGGGATTTTGTTTCCGTCACTCTCGGAACAGCCACGCAAGGATGCTTTCTTTCTTCTTTCATTGCCTCGCCGGCTTAGGGCTTGGGGTCGAGATGGTCTAGGGCTTGGGGTTTTGGGGCTTGGGTTTGGGGCTCCACGGTGAGAGGTGCCCCGGCGCCTGTGCATCTCGCGACCTGAGTTGGCGTCCCTCTGACTTTCTCGAAACCTCTTTTGCCCCATCTTATCCAAGAGGCGGAGCAGTCTGGTCTGATACAGCTTGGGGAAGAAATCGTCGGAAATCATGATGACGCCGGCCTGCGCATGCCAAGCTTTTCTACTTTTTTTGCTTCTGCCAAAGAGACAAGTCAGCGCGGCAGCGGCGGCCGAGATGCGGACATGCAAACAGTAGTCATGGTGGCGCGTGACGATAACCTCCACAATTTCCTCGAGAATCATCTCTAACGTCATCCTGGGCGCACGGCGGAGGTGCAAATTTGACGGCCGCAGGCCGTCAGCTGCGCGCTGATCGCGGTATGTTGCAAGGCCGCAGCTCGCGCTGCAAGAGCTCTTCGCCAACATAGCAGAGGGTGGGCCTGATCTGCATGGCCACCTGCTGTCGGAGGAGGCTAGAGCATCGTGGAAATGGCCACCACGTGGCCTCCACTGTCAGCGTGCTCGAGCCGCAGGAAACGAAGTGGTAGATGTCGCGGTTCAAAGCTTGCCTGTGCAGGAGCTCTCGTAGCAGAGCCTTACACAGCCGATGCTCACCAGACGCCTGCTGAGCGAAAGGTTGCCGGCGACTTCGCTCAAGACGGCGCAGGCACTGTCGAAGCCTGGACGGGAGCACCAATGCAACATGCATGCGTGAATGGAACATTGCTTTAATGACATAGGTCCATGCACACATATCAGACATCCGTACATCCAGACATCCATGCAAGCATACATAGAGAATGTATGTGAATGTGAGAGAGAGAGAGAGAGAG